TTGTTCTGTTTTCCCTTTATCCATTTTGATTCTCATATTAACTTTTTCTTTTTAGGCCTTGGCACGGAGTAGGTCTGGTTTTCTTAAAGTCATCACTGAAAACATCCCAAATAGCAAATATTCTATTAATAATATAGATCCTGGAGATTATTAAAAGAGTTTCTAATTATATGTGCTTAGATGTTTTTAAAAAGGCACAATGGTTGTCTGAGGAGGCCTAACAAATAGCTGAGAAAATAAGAGAAGCTAAAGGCAAAGGAGAAAAGGAAAGATAAACCCATGTGAATGCAGAGTTCCAAAGAATAGCAAGGAGAGATAAGAAAGCCTTCCTCAGTGATCAGTGCAAAGAAATAGAGGAAAACAATAGAATGGGAAAGACTAGAGATCTCTTCAAGAAAATTACAGAAAACAAAGGGAACATTTCATGCAAAGATGGGCACAATAAAGAACAGAAATGATATGGATCTAACAGAAGCAGAAGATATTAAGAAGAGGTGGCAAGAATACATAGAAGAACTATACAAAAAAGATCTTCATGACTCAAATAACCATGATGGTGTGATCACTTACCTAGAGCCAGATATCCTGGAATGCAAAGTCAAGTGGGCATCACTTAGGAAGGATCACTATGAACAAAGCTAGTGGAGGTGATGGAATTCCAGTTGAACCATTTCAAATCCTAAAAAATGATGCTGTGGAAGTGCTGCACTCAATATGCCAGCAAATTTGGAAAACTCAGCAGTGGTCACAGGACTGGAGAAGGTCAGTCTTCATTCCAATCCCAAAGAAGGGCAATGCCAAAGAATGTACAAACTATTGCACAACTGCATTCATCTTACACGCTAGTAAAATAATACTCAAAATTCTCCAAGGCAGGCTTCTGCAGTTCGTGAACTGTGAGCTTGCAGATGCTCAAGTTGGATTTAGTAAAGGCAGAGGAACCAGAGATCAAATTTCCAACACCTGCTGGATCATCAGAAAACCAACAGAGTTCCAGAAAAACATCTACTTTTGCTTTGTTGACTATACCAAAGCCTTTGACTGTCTGGATCACAACAAACTAGAAAATTCTTAAAGAGATGGGAATACCAGACCACCTGACCTGCCTCCTGAGAAATCTGTTTGCAGCTCAAGAAGCAACAGTTAGAACAGGACATGGAACAACAGACTGGTTCCAGATAGGAAAAGGAGTATGTCAAGGCTTTATACTGTCACCCTGCTTATTTAATTTATTTGCAGAGTACATTGTGAGAAACGCTGGGCTGGATGAAGCACAAGCTGAATTCAAGATTGCCAGGTGATGGAAAGGGAAGCCTGATGTGCTGCAGTCTGTGGGGTCACAGAGAGGTGGGCCCGACTGAGTGACTGAACTGAGCTGACTGAGATGTTTTTAAAAGAGTGTTAGTCTTTCTTATTTTATCTGGTCCCTTCTAAATGGTTTTCTATGTGTATGTGTGTCTCTTCCTATTAGATTTCATACACCTAAGTACAGACCCATGGACACAGCATCTCTCTAGGATTTCTTAGTTTTTCAGTGAATTTTTTTGATAAGTAAATAATATTATTTATTCTGGTAGAATTTTTTTTTTTAAGAGTGAAACAAATCTGTGATTTCACTATTCTTTATTTTAGTGACATCAATGACATTCCAAATGAAACTTAGCCTTTGGAGTCAAGGAGTAAATTTATTAACCTGCCTAAGAGACTATTAGAATTTATACTAGTGCTTGCAAAATAAATTTGCTGTAAGTGGAGGAAATTTTGCTCAATTTTATCCTTGTAATGCCCTTTTTTAAAGTATCAGTGGAGCTAAAGCCTTGGGTTTTGCAGCCTTCTCACTGACCTTTACTGGTTGTATAAGCTGTTTACTGAAATCCCATCTGTGTTGAAGCTGTGTTCTGCCAAATTTCCTACAAAACTGATAGTAGTTCCATGTCATTCAGTTCAGTTCAGTCTCTCAGTCGTGTCCGACTCTTTGAGACCCCATTGACTACAGCATGCCAGGCCTCCCTGCCCATCACCAGTTTCCGGAGTTTACTCAAGCTCATGTCCGTCGAGTTGGTGATGCCGTCCAACCATCTCATCCTCTGTTGTCCCCTTCTCCTCCTGCCTTCAATCTTTCCCAGCATCAGGGTCTTTTCAAATCAGTCAGTTCTTCGAGTCAGGTGGCCAAAGTATTAGAGCTTCAGCATCAGTCCTTCCAGTGACCATTGAGGACTGATTTCCTTTAGGATGGACTGGTTGGATCTCCTTGCAGCAGAAGACTCTCAAGAGTCTTCTCTAACACCGCAGTTCAAAAGCATCAATTCTTCAGCACTCAGATTTCTTTTTGTTCAACTCTCATATCCATACATGACTACTGGAAAAACCACAGTTTTGACTAGATGGACCTTTGTTGGCAAAGTAATGTCTCTGCTTTTTAATATGCTGTCTAGGTTGGTCATAGCTTTTCTTCCAGGGAGCAAGTGTCTTTCAATTTCATGGCTGCAGTCATCATTTGCAATGATTTTGGAGCCCAAGAAAATAAAGTCTGTCACTGTTTGCACTCTTTCCGCATCTATTTGCCATGAAGTGATGAGACCGGATGTCATGATCTTAGTTTTCTGAATGGTGAGTTTTCAGCCAACTTTTTCAGTTTCCTCTTTCACTTTCATCAAGAGGCTCTTTAGTTCTTTGCTTTCTGTCATAAGGGTGGTGTCACCTGCATATCTGAAGTTATTGATATTTCCCCTGGAAATCTTGATTCCAGTTTGTACTTCATCCAGCCCAGTGTTTCTCATGATGTACTCTGCATATAAATTAAATAAACAGGTGACAATGTACAGCCTTGATGTAGTCCTTTCCCTATTTGGAACCAGTCTGTTGTTCCATGTCCTGTTCTAACTGTTGCTTCCTGACCTGCATACAGATCTCTCAGGAGGCAGGTCAAGTGGTCTGGTATTCCCTTCTCTTTCAGAATTTTCTAGTTTATTGTGATCCACACAGTCAAAGGCTTTGGCATAGTTAATAAAACAAAAGTAGATGTTTTTCTGGAACTCTCTTGCTTTTTTGATGATCCAGCAGATGTAGGCAATTTGATCTCTGGTTCCTCTACGTTTTCTAAATCCAGCTTGAACATCTGGAAGTTCACAGTTCATGTACTGTTGAAGCCTGGCTGGAGAATTTTGAACATTACTTTGCTAGTGTGAGAGATGAGTGTAATTGTGTGGTAGTTTGTGCATTTTTGGCATTGCCTTTCTTTGGGATTGGAATGAAGACTGACCTTCTCCAGTCCTGTGGCCACTGCTGAGTTTTCCAAATTTGCTGTCATATTGAGTGTAGCACTTTCACAGCATCATCTTTTAGGAATTGAAATAGCTCAACTGGAATTCTGTCACCTCCACCAGCTTTGTTCATAGTGATGCTTGCTAAGGCCCACTTGACTTCATATTCCAGGATATCTGGCTCTAGGTGAGTGATCACACCATTGTGATTATCTGGGTCGTAAGATCTTTTTTGTATAGTTCTTCTGTGTATTCTTGCCACCTCTTCTTAATATCTTCTGCTTCTGTTAGGTCCATACCATTTCTGTCCTTTATTGTGCCCATCTTTGCATGAAATGTTCCCTTGGTATGTCTAATTTTCTTGAAGAGATCCTACACTGTTATTACCAACTGAATCATTAAGAAACATTTCCTGTGGTGAGGCCAGTGGTTCTCCAACCATGGTGAACATCAGTCCCCTGGTGCTTCTTAAAGAGTCTAGATGCTGCATCTTTCCCAGATGGATCCTCGGTGTCTGTGGTCAAAATACTTTCTGGTGGTCCTGGAGATACTTTTGGGGAAACATTGCCATTGGTTCTTAAATTTAGTTTGAATGGAATTTTGTGATTTTTAAAATTATGACTCTTCTAAAAGTTGTGAAGCATTCTAAGTGTGTTTAAGAGCAGTGTTACAGATATGTTTATGAATTCTCTTTAACATTGCAGAATCTGTACTGCATTATGTGGCATTGTAGATGTAATTATAAAATACTCTCTTTGCTGTAGATTTATCTATCTAGTGCATATTAGCATGCCATTTTAAAGAAAATGTTTATTTGAAAAAAAATCTCCTTTTTCATAAGCTCCTATCAGGAATGAAAACAAACAAACAAAAATATCAAATTGCAGTATTTTTTCTGCTGTTACTTCCTACATACCCAACATTTACCTCCACTTAGTCCATCCTAAAGGAGATCGGTCCTGGGTGTTCATTGGAAGGACTGATGTTAAAGCTCAAACTCCAATACTTTGGCCACCTTATGTGAAGAGCTGACTCATTTGAGAAGACCCCGATGCTGGAAAAGATTGAGGGCAGGAGGAGAAGGGGACGACAGAGGGTGAGATGGTTAGATGGTGTCACCGACTCAAAGGACATGGGTTTGGGTAGACTCCGGCAGTTGGTGATGGACAGGGAGGCCTGGTGTGCTTCGGCTCATGGGGTCACAAAGAGTCAGACACGACTGAGCGACTGAACTGAACTGAACCCCATGTTTTGTGTGTGACTGTATTGGAGAGAAATGTTAGGTATTTAGAAGATACAGTTTAATGTGCCTTTATTACCTCTTAAAATGGACAGTATTTGATGGTGTTAATATTAGTCTTGATGGTGGATGAAGCAATGAATTTTTTAATTACCAAAGAGTTTAAGGATTAACTTCCACATCAGATGTTTTTCTAAATGTATGTTCTCTGAAAATAAAAAATAGTTGACAATACACAGTAGTCTAAGGCAAATGTTTATTAATTCCAACTAAATGAGAGAATTACATATTCCAGTGAGGTCATTATAATAATGTATGTGTGTTAATATTCAATATAAGGACCCTTACTCACTCCTCTTTTTTTGTTTTGCAAATACCTCTTTTATAAGATTGGTCTTGCATTGAAAGGTTGAAAATTATGGATATTGATTGGTAAATTGATCAGTGATAAGAATTCCTTTAAATGCCTTAATCTATTCTTTTTCTTTTTTTCTTAGGGACTTTCTCCCTCGAGGGTCAGGCATTGTAACTAGAAGGCCGCTAGTGTTGCAGCTGATTACTTCCAAAGCAGGTAATGGAAAAGGGTGTTTGCTACTTGGATGACTGTGTCTGTGATACCTGTTTTCTCATTGCAGGATTTTGGGTCATAGCAGCAAAAATGGTTTGGTGATCATTAGCTGCCTATATGTTTCTCTAAAACACTCCCTTTTTCATTGCTTTTTAAATTCCTTTTATTACATTTATTACATTTCAATTCCTTTTATTTCATTTATTCTCATTGTAATATATCTGTAATTTTATGGTGTGGCATAACCTCTAATACCCCTTTGGTATCCTTCCTTCCTGCACCTATGTGTGTGTGCATGACTGGGAATTTTTTTAAAGTAATTTAACATCCACCTGAGGTTAAGAGATAGACAGGATCTAGGTTGGACATTGACAGTCAGCCAGTGGCCTCTTTGCATTTTCTGAGTCAAGAGATAGGTAGACTCCAGTTGAGGAATTTACACCAGCCTCCCCTTTGCTCTCAAAAATGGTTATAACATCAGAAACAAGGTAAATAGTCAGTCTTTGTCTCTTGTTAACACCTCAAGGGAATAATCATGGCAAGGACAAAGAGAGGCAAAGACCCTTCTGAGAAAAAAGATCAGGGAGTTCAGTTCAGTTCAGTCCCTCAGCTGCTCAGCCGTGTCTGACCCTTCGCAACCCCATGGACTGCAGCATGCCAGGTTTCCCTGTCTGTCACCAACTCCTGGAGTTTGCTCAAAGCAATGTCCATCGAGTCGGCAATGCCATCCAACCGTCTGATCCTCTGTTGTCCCCTTCTCCTCATGCCTTCAATTTTCCAGCATCAGCATCTTTTCCAATGAGTCAGTTCTTTGAATCAGGTGACCAAAGTATTGGAGCTTCAGCTTCAGCATCAGTCCTTCCAATGAATATTCAGGACTGATTTCCTTTAGGACTGAATGGTTGGATTTCCTTGCAGTCAAAGGGACTCTCAAGAGTCTTCTCCAACACCACGTTCAAAAGCATCAATTCTTCTGCACTCAGCTTTCTTTATAGTTCAACTCTCACATCCATACATGACTACAGGAAAAATCATAGCTTTGACTAGATGGACCTTTGTCAGCAAAGTAATGTCTCTGTTTTTTAATATGCTTTCTAGGATGGTCATAGCTTTTCTTCCAAGGAGCAAGTGTCTTAATTCATGGCTGCAGTCACCATCTGCCGTGATTTTAGAATCCCAAGAAATAAAGTCTGTCACTGTTTCCATTGTTTTCCCATCTATTTTCCATGAAGTGATGGGGCTGGATGCCATGATCTTAGTTTTCTGAATGTTGAATTTTAAGCCAGCTTTTCCACTCTCCTCTTTCACTTTCATCAAGAGGTTCTTCAGTTCCTTTTTCTTTCTGCCATAAGGGTGGTGTCATCTGCATATCTGAGATTATTAATATTTCTCCCAGCAATCTTGATACCAGCTTGTGCCTCATCCAGCCCGATATTTCGCATGATGTACTCTGCATATATGTTAAATAATCAGGGTGAAAAGATAAGGGAGACATTACACATTTGCACAAAGTGTCCTTGAAACAAAAAGCCAGAGGTTAATTCCAGGATGTAATGAGTCTTGCTTCTCTCAGAAGCCTTCACTTCAAGCTTCCTCTTGACTGAGGGGTGCATGAACACCCCAGGGGAGGGTCCCAGGGTAGGTCAGGTGTGGTAAAAGAAACCAGATAACTGGCCTGAATGAAGACAAAGACCTGGAAAAACTGCCTTATAGAAATGACTAACAGCCTCTTTACTGTGCTCTTCCTCACCAGGGGAGACGCCCACACCCTTTCTCCAGGTGTGCATCTCTGCCTTGCTTCTGTCTCAACCAAACAAGCTGTTTTTCCATGTGCTCTCCCACTTGTTGCGCTGTGTCTCTAATAATAAATGTTTAAACTGCATTTTCAGTTTCTGCCTCTGTGATAAATGCATTTTTCACTGGGGGCAAAGATATAGGGAAAAATAGCTTGTAGCCTCTAGCCCTTGCTGGTTTGGTGGCTAGGATTCCTGGTTTTCATCCAGGCTACCCAGATTTAATTCCTGGGCAGGGAACTAAGATCTCTCATCATGCCACTGTTCCAAAGAATGGCAAGGAGAGATAAGAAAGCCTTCCTCAGTGATCAAGGCAAAGAAATAGAGGAAAACAATAGAATGGGAAAGACTAGAGATCTCGTCAAGAAAATTAGAGATACCAAAGGAACATTTCATGCAAAGATGAGCACAATAAAGGACAGAAATGGTATGGACTTAAGAGAAGCAGAAGATATTAAGAAGAGGTGGCAAGAATACACAGAAGGTCTATACAAAAAAGATCTTCATGACCCAGATAACCATGATGGTGTGATCACTCACCTAAAGCCAAACATCCTGGAATGGGAAGTCAAGTGGGCCTTAGGAAGCATCACTATAAATAAAGCTAGTGAAGGTGAAGGAATTCCAGTTGAGCTATTTCAGTTCCTAAAAGATGATGCTGTGAATGTGCTACACTCAATATGCCAGCAAATTTGGAAAACTCAGCAGTGGCCACAGGACTGGAAAATGTCAGTCTTCATTCCAATCCCGAAGAAGGGCAATCCCAAAGAGTGCTCAAACTACCATACAATTGCACTCATCTCACATGCTAGTAAATTAATGCTCAAAATTCTCCAAGGCAGGCTTCAATAGTACGTGAACCGTGAACTTCCAGATGTTTAAGCTGGATTTAGAAAAGGCAGAGGAACCAGAGATCAAATTGCCAACGTCTATTGGATTATCAAAAAAGCAAGAGAGTTCCAGAAAAACATCTACATTTGCTTTATTGACTATGCCAAAACCTTTCTGTGGATCACAATAAACTGTAGAAAATTCTGAAAGAGATGGGAATACTAGACCACCTGACCTGCCTCCTGAGAAACCTGTATGCAGGTTAGGAGGCAACAGTTAGAACTGGACATGAAAAAAAACAGACTGGTTCCAAATAGGGAACGGAGTACATCAATGCTGTATATTTTCACCCTGTTTATTTAACTTATAGGCAGAGTACATCATGTGAAATGCCAGACTGGATGAAGCACAAGCTAGAATCAAGATTGCCGGGAGAAATATCAATAACCTCAGATATGCAGATGACACCACTCTTCTGGCAGAAAGTGAAGAAGAACTGAAGAGCCTCTTGGTGAAAGTTAAAGAGGAGAGTGCAAAAGTTGGCTTAAAGCTCAACATTCAGAAAACTAAGATCCTGGCATCTGGTCCCATCACTTCATGGCAAATAGTTGGGGAAACAGTGGAAACAGTGACAGACTTTATTTCTTTGGGTTCCAAAATCACTGCAGATGGTGACTGCAGCCTTGAAATTAAAAGACATTTGCTCCTTAGAAGAGAAGCTATGACCAACCTAGACAGCATATTAAAAAGCAGAGATATTACTTTGCCAACAAAGTCTGTCTAGTAAAAGCTGTGGTTTTTCCAGTAGTCATGTATGGATGTAAGAATTGAACTATAAAGAAAGCTGAGTGCAGAAGAATTGATGGTTTTGAACTGTGGCATTGAAGAAGACTCTTGAGAGTCCCTTGGACTGCAAGGAGATCCAACCAGTCTATCCTAAGCTGAAACTTCAATACTTTGGCCACCTGATGCAAAGAACTGACTCATTGAAAAAGACCCTGATGCTGAGAAAAGTTGAAGCTGTGAGTAGAAGGGAATGCCAGAGTATGAGATGGTTGGATGGCATTGCTGACTCTTGTTGATACACATGAGTTTGAGTAAGCTCCAGAATTTAGTGATGGACAGGTAGCCTTGTGTACTGCAGTCCATGGGGTCGCAGAGAGTTGGACACCACTGAGCGACTGAACTGAACTTATTCATGCCACTGTTCTCTGTTGCCTTGCCAAGATCACATTGAATATCTGTGTGCATGTCGTTGACTGAAGAAAAAAACATGCACATGCAACCTAACAGTTGAGCGCTCAATATTCTATTTATCAATATGCACAGTGTGTGTTATTCGATCCCTGGGTTGGGAAGATCCCCTGGAGGAGGGCATGGCAACTCACTCCAGTATTCTTGCCTGGAGAATGCCAATGGACAGAGGAGCTGGGGGTCTGCAGTCCAGTGGGTCACAGAGTTGGACATGACTGAGTGACTAAGTACACACGCACAATACAGGTGTATTTGTATCTATATTTATATCTATATATGAATTTGTATCTAATGTACTGTTTTGCCTCTTTCAACACCATAATAATTTGATAGGCAAATGAGCTTTGTTTTCATTTTTTGTTTCTCTGTAACCAATGATGTGAAATTTTTTTTGTGTATGTATTTATTTGGTATTTGTATTTCTTCTTTTGGGACTTGGCTATTTTTATCTTTCCCCATTTCTTTTTGAGGATTTTGCTACTTTCCCCAGCAATTTCTTTGAATGTTTAAGATTGAAGCACTTGTAGTGTTCATGTCTCATAATTAGTAAGAACCAAAGTCGTGGAGATTTACCCTTATGTTTTCTTCTAATAATTTTATAGTTCTTACACTTAGGCCTTTGATCCATTTTGAATTAATTTTTATATATTGTACAGAGTAAGAACTCAACTTCATTTTCTGCAGGTATATTGTCTCAGCACCATTTGTTGAAAAGACTATTCTTTCTGCATTGTATGTTTTTTGGCACCTTTGAAAATCAATTTGCCATAGATATATGGGTTTATTTCTGGGCTTTCATGTCTATTTAGTTGATCTATATCTCTCTATTTGTGCCTGTACCATACTCTCTCCTTTTTCAAAAAATTTATTTATTTATTTTCAGATGCCCTGGGTCTTTGTTGCTGCATGCAAGCTATCTCTAGTTGTGGCAAGTGGGGGCTACTCTCTAGTTGCAGTGCATGGGCATCTCATTGTGGTGGCTTCTCTTGTTGCAGAGCATGGGCTCTAGAGTTTGCAGGCTTCAGTAGTTGTGGCACATGGGCTTAGTTTCCCCTCTGTAGATGGATTCTTCCTGGAGCAGAGACTGAACCATGTCCCCTGCTTTGGCAGGTGAATTCTTAACCC